CACTTTTAACTGCATGACAATGTGACATGTATGAAACAGGTTCTTATTTTGTTTCATTTAATTGGAATAGATCTGGCCCTATGTCCTTGAATTCAAGGTGGTTGATAACAAAATAATAAGTCACAAGGATACAAAAGTCTGCAAAAATCAGTGACAACATAAAAAGCACCCAATAAAAACAGTCGAATCTGTTCAAGTAGGATGTAACAGCTGACAACCAAACATAGGAAATAAACAGCATGCTGATATTGTCTCACAGTTTCCTGGCTACGAAAGCCAATGTCAAGCTGAGGATAGCAAAAAGTCCCATACATCCCATGACAATGTAAAACATGATGTCAGATGCTTCCTTTCCTTATGCTACCATTTCTTCCATGATTGCACTGCTTGTCAAAATCGAGGAAAGAAACTTTTTGCCACATCACACAGAGAGCTGACTGAATAAAGGGAAGGGGGAAGGACAATAGATTTCAAAAGAATAACATTCTGAGATTGAAGAACAGATGCCATTTCTGTGTGCTGACTTCAACAACTGGAAAATAACCTCAGCATAGAAATGTGAGCCCTAGACAAAGTAGAAAGGACCCTCATGTTTCTGTTGTGGAACCTGGAACTCATGTTGATCAATTTCTCACATCACCCAGCAGGGGGAGCAGTATCACACGACTGTGCTATAACTCAGTTCAGGAAGCCTGCCTGATTTCACACTGCTGGGCTATCTTTTCTCTTCTCATTTCTCCATCTGCCCAGTGACTTGGCTGATTTGAGTTGGGAAACCACAGAAAGGAATGAGGGGAGATGCCATTCATTGTATAATGAAGAAGCTGGTCTTTGACACTCTCCTCTTTTCTCCCAGCAGACAAAGTGTTTGTAGGGTCGGTATATTTGGTGGTAAAGTACACAGAGAGTGCTGAGAGTGCATTCTGGCCAGCATGGTCTCAAGAGAACTTTCCACTTACTGTATGCTCTATCCAGTTCCGCTCACACAAGCCAAAAGATGGAAGGCAGCCAGAAGTGGGACCCTGGCAAAAACCTTGAATGGTGCTCTGCATGATAGGAATCATGGTGTCACCCCCAGTTGATGCCTGACCACCCAGAAGGTGCTTCCTGGTTGCCTAGCCAATAATTCCCTGATAGTCTAGCCAGTTGCTTCCTAACTGCTTAGGTGGTGACTATGTAGGCCCAATCCACACTCCTTTGGGAAATTGCCTGGAAAATGAGACAGGATGGAAGAAGGGGACTGTGCCACTGTGTGACACAGAGGGTTGAAATACGTGGGCCATTGGCCTGATTCAACACAGCTTCTCTTATGTTCTTATGACATGAGTGCACTGCAGACAGGGTACATTGTGGTGGAGCTGGAGAGGCCAAGCAGTAGGGCTTCCAAATATGGGCGGGGGCGGGGAATCCCCCGCTTTGAAAGCCCGATTTCTGACGCAGCAGAATCAGGGCCCGGTGGAACCCCGCCCCCGGCGTGCACGTCACTAGCAAGTGACGTAAACACGCTGGGCACGCTGGGGCGGGGCCATGGCCATACAAGGGAACACTCTATGGTTTTCCCTTATATGGCCGTGGCCCCACCCCCAGCGTGCCCAGTGTGCCTATGTCACTTCTGAGTGATGCGTACGCGGCGTGCACACACACCCCCGACGCCGGCCGGGAGCCCCCTGCTCCCGGCGAAGACGGATTTGGCAACCCTACCAAGCAGTGCCCAGCCAGAGCAAGCAGACATGTTGCCCTCTGTTGCCAACAACTCCACCAAAGTCTGGCAGAGGCGAGTCCCACCCTGCAGCTCGATCTCGGGACTACATGGTAAAGAAAGAAGTGACTGGCCATTAAACCGGTATCAAAAGGCAGAAAGTCATACTAAGGCGGTGAAGGAATGCAGGGCAGCTCCTCCATCAATCAGGCACAGCCCTTCCTAAGAGGGATTCAAAGCCCATTTTCCACAAGGACATCGGAAACTCCTTCCAGATAATTTGATCTTAAATTAATGACACAGGTCTCCAAAGCAAGAAACAATGCCGGGGGGGGGGGAGAACCAGAATGTTTTTCTCCTCATGGAATTCCCCGATAAACAGGCCAGGTGAAAGGAAATATGCAACAAAAAGCAAGACGAGGAGTGAATGACAGACATGCTGCTCAGCCCTCCTTATAGCTGAACATCAAGCAGGAGCAGAATATGCAAAACAGGCTATTATTCGGTCCCTGCTTAAATAGACGCCTCAGCAATGAAAGGAGCCATCTTGGAAAGCATAATGGAGACCTTAATCCTAATTCTTTGCATCTTTTCAATGCTTAAGCAGGGTATGTGTTCCTAACATTGAATGTTAACCTTGAATGAAAAATGGAGGGGGTGGGAGAAAGTTCTGTCGGCTTCCTTTATGTGACATTTTCAGACGGGTCACAGAATTTCAGATGTTAAACCATCAAGCAGTTTCACCTAAAATGGAACTCCTTATCTATAACCCATTTGTTCTAAGGTGTAAGAAAATCAGCAATTTCAGACAACTTCAGGCAAATTTGGACATTTACTGTAGATACAGCTTGAAAATCTCTCCCACACCCATGTGTGTACCATACCATTTTATAACTTTGCTTATTTTTTTTGAAACTATTTCTTTTTTCTTCCAGGGGTCCTCTCTGAAATTAAGCTGACAGAGTCTGGAAAAGGAACAGTAAAACCTGGGGAGTCCTTAAGACTGACCTGCACAGTATCCGGTACCACCATCAGCGATACATATGGTTACCACTGGATCCGCCAGCCACCCAACAAAGGGCTGGAATGGGTTGGAAGGGGATACTACAGCAGAAGTTCTACCTGGTACACGGACTATGACTCCGCCTTCCAGAGCAGGGTCTCCATCTCTCCTGACACCTCCAAGAATGAGTTTTCTCTCCAGCTGAACTCCCTGACAGCAGCAGACACGGCCGTCTATTACTGTGCCCGACAACCACAGTGACACAGAGCCAAGCTGCTGGTTGTACAAAAAGGGAAAGCTCCTGTCTTGAGCAGATAGTTCCCTGGTGCTGCAAATTCTTCCTCTAAGACATGGCTCTGTATGTGTGCCGGCTAGCATCCATAACGCTACTTTTAACTGTATGACAATGTGACATGTATGAAACCGGGACTTATTGTGTCTCATTTTTTTGAAATAGTTAGATCCTGGCTTATATCCTTGAATTCATAGTGGCTAATAGTAAAAGAGTAAGTCACAACGAACAAAAGCTTGTAAATACCAGTGATGGAATTTTTTAAAAAGTACAAATATGCTCAAGAAGAACATAACACTTGACAACCAAACATGACAAATAAATAGCCTGCTGAAACTGTCTTGCGGTTTCTTGGCTATGAGGCCGATGTCAAACTGATGATAACCAAAAGTCCAATAAAGCCCAGGCTGGTATAAAAAATGGTGTCAGGAGCTTCATTACCTTTGGCTATTATTTCTTTCATCGTTGCACTGCATGTCAAAATCTCAGGAATAGGAAGCAGCTCTTTGCCACATCGTTCAGACAGCTGATTGAATAAACGGAATGGAAAAGACAATGGATTCCAAAAGAACAACATTCTGAGAATGAACTATGGATGCCATTTCTATGTGCTGAGTTCAGCAAATGGAATATTATCTCAGCATAAAAATGTAAACCCCTGGACATAGTAGAAAGGAACCTCACATCCCCCTTGTGGAAACTGGAACTCATGTTGGCCAATTGCTCACATTAACCAGCAGGGGGGAGCAGCTTCACACAGCGGTGCTGTAACTCTGTTCAAGAAGCCTGCTCGATTTCATTCTCTGGGGATATCTTTTCTCACTTCTCCAACTGCCCAGTGACTTGGCTGATGTACGTTGAGAAACCACAGAAAGTTGTGTGGGGAAATGCCATTCATTGTAAAATGAAGAAACTGAAGTCTGACCCTTTTCTCCCATTAGACAAAGCATTTGTAGAGTAGGTTCATTTGGTTGTAGAGTACAGAGAGAGAGCGGAGAGTGCAGTCTGGCCACCATGGTCTCAAGGGATCTTTCCCCTTTCTGTGTGCTTTAGCCACTTCCTCTCACACAAGCCACAACCATGGCAAGGGGTCCTTGTCCTTACAGAGACAAAAGGGAGCAGGAAGTGTGACCCTGGGTAAAAGCCTTGAATGGGGCTCCCCATGAAAGGTGTGGTGGTGTAACCCCCATAACCCCCATAAGGTGCTTCCTGGTTTCCAAGCCCGTAGTTCCCTGATCGTCTAGCTATTTGCTGCCTGATTGCTTAGCCGGTGGCTGCCTGGCCTCAATCCAGCCTCTTTTGGGAAATTGCCTGGAGAAGTGAGACAGGATGGAAGAAGTGGGCTGTGCCACTGTATGACACAGAGAGTTGGGCCAGATGGGCCATGGGCTTCATCCAACATAGCTTCTTTTATGTTCTGATGACAGGAGCAAACCATAAAAACTGTACATTGTGGTGGAGTTGGAGAGGCCAAGCAGTGCCAAGCCAGAGCAAGCCGACATGTTGCCTCCTCTTGCCAACAACTCCATCAAAGACTGGCAGGAGCATGGCCAACCCTGTAGCTTGATCTCGGGGCTGCCTGGCCAAGAAGTGAAATCAGTATCAAATGTCAGAAAGTCATACTAAGGTGATGAAAGAATGCGGGGCAGCTCCTCCATCAATCAGGCACAGCCCATCCTAAAATGGATTCAGTCGAATTCCATTTTCCATAAGGACATCGGGAGTTCCTTCCAGATAATTGGATCTTAAATTTACAATCCAGAACTGCAAACAAGAAAAAACAGGGGGCACCTGAATGTATTTCTCCTGATGGAATTGCCCGGTAAAAGCCTGGGTACATGGAAATATACAAGAAAAGGCAAGATGAGGAGTGAATGAGAGGCGTGCTGCACAGTCGTCCCTAAGGCTGAACACAAAACAGGAGCAGAATATGCAAAGCAGGCTGTTATGCTGTCCCTGCTTAAATAGACCTCTCAGAAGTGGTAGGAGCCATCTTGGAAAGCACAATGGAGACCTTAATCCTAATTCTTTGCATCTTTTCAATGCTGAAGCAGGGTATGTTTTCCTGACAGAATTTCTTTTCTTCGAATGAAAAAATGGAGGTGGTGGGAGAAAGTTCTGTCTGCTTCCTTTATTTGAGGTTTACAGAATTTCACAGAATTTCAGATGTTCCACCATTAAGCAGTTTCACCTAAAATGGAGCTTCTTATCTATAAACCATATCTTTTAAGGGGGGGGGGTCAGTAACTACAGGCAATTTTGGACAATGACTGTGGGCACAACATGAAAATATCCTCGACAGCTATGCATGCACTGTACAGTTTTATAACTTTGCTCAATTTCTTTCTTTCTTTCTTTCTTTCTTTCTTTCTTTCTTTCTTTCTTTCTTTCTTTCTTTCTTTCTTTCTTTCTTTTTGAAATGATTTCTTTTTTCTACCAGGAGTCCTCTCTGAAATTAAGCTGACAGAGTCTGGGAAAGGAACAGTCAAGCCTGGGAAGTCCTTAAGATTGACCTGCACAGTCTCTGGGACCTCCATCACCAAAGAATCTAGTTACCATTGGATCCGCCAGCCACCTCACAAAGGGCTGGAATGGATTGGAATGGGATACTACGTCAGCGCTGCTGGTTATGATGATGATGACGGCAGATTATTCTGGAACGCTCAGTATGCCTCCGCCTTCCAGAGCAGGGTCTCCATCCATGACAACTCCAAGAATGAGTTTTCTCTCCAGCTGAACTCCCTGACAGCTGCAGACAGGGCCATCTATTATTGTGCCCGACAACCACAGTGACACAGAGCCAAGCTGCCGTCTGCACAAAAAGGGGAAGCTTGTGTCTTTAACAGCGAGTTCCCTGGTGCTGCAATTCCCCCCCTAAGACATGGCTCTGTACATTTTCCGGCTGACGATGTGACATGTATGAAACAGGGACTTATTTGGTCTCATTCATTTGATATAGTTAAATCCTGCCTTATGTCCTTGAATTCAAGAATTAGTCATAAGGACACAATAGTTTGTACAAATCAGTGATGGGTTGTTGTTTTTTTAAAAAACACACACATTAAAAACAGGCAAATCGGCTGAAGTAGGATGCAACACTTGACAACCAAACACTGTAAATAAGCAGCATTCTGAAACTGAGGCCCTGGTCACATGTAAGGTTTTGGGCTGGTAGAGGGACGGTTCAGGGGCGCAGCAAACGGGCGATCCGACCGCAACATCTGGGAAGCGTTGTGCTTCCGTCCCCGAACCGGGCCTTCCACCCAAAACACCGCACCAAAAAAGAACCACCTACCTAGGTTGTTCATCGCGAAGCGGCGCATCAAGGCCGGCCGTGGGATCGCCAGCGTGTCCTTTCGCCAGCGCTTCCCCGGCTCCTGGCCGAACTGCGCATGCTTCGACATGCGCAGTTCGGCAGCCTCCCCTCCCGTCCGTCGCTTCCTCCCCAGCATCTGATCGTGCAGGGGAGCAACGGTGCCATAGCTCAGGGGATCCGTGGGATCCCGCCGCGGCATCTCTATTTTGGCGCAGCTTTTAAAAGCCGCACTTTGGCCGTTTCTTTTCCTGCCGTGTGGCAGGGACCTGAGTTGTGTTTTCCTGGCTACGTAAGCCAATGTCAAACTGAGGATAGCCAAAAGTCCCATACAGCCCAGGGCAATGTAAAACATGGTTTCAGATGCTTCATTAACTTTGGCTATCATTCCTTCCATCACTTCACTGCATGTAATAATCTGGGAAAGGGGAAGAAACGCTTTGCCACATCAAACAGATAGCTGCCTGAATGAAGGAAAAGGAAAAACCAATGCATTTCAAAAGAATTGCATGTTGAGAATGAAGTACGGATGCCATTTTTGTGTGCGGACTTCAGCAAATGGAAAATAATCTCAGCACAGAAATGTAAACCCCTGACAGAGTAGAAAGGAACCTCATATGGATATGGATCTGATTGTGAAGGAAGAAGTGCCATGGTCAGATCACTCGGTTTTGAAGGCCCAGCTGGTTGTTCCGACTCCTCCTGTTTAGGCGATGAGTTGGTTTATGCTTGCCTGTGGAGACTAATGAACCCAATTGGGTTCCAGAACGCTCTGCAGGATCCGATGTCTTCTGGGGGCTCATTGGATTAGCTGATAGAAGACTGGAACTCCCATCTTTCTGAAGCCATCAATGTAGTCGCTCCCTGACATCCTCTCCGTTCCCTTCAAAAGTCATCTCCCTGGTATACTGTGGGACTTAGGGAGATGAAACAGGAACTCAAACAACTAGAGTGAGCCTGGCAGCATGCTCACAATGAAGCTTCAAGAACATTTCATACGACACTTATGAAAGCCTATGAGGTGGCAGTGAAGGCTGCGAAGAGGCGATTCTACTCAGCCTCCATTGTGTCTGTTAGGTCACACCCAGCACAATTTTTTCAGGGTAATTAGATCTTTGAGAACCCTCTCAGAGAGGAAACAAAAGATGAGTGATTCAACCATTAGCTGCGAGGCATTTGTGAACTTTTGTTTGGATAAAGTATTGTCACTCCTCCACAACCTACCCGCTAATATTGATACAGTATGCAAACTGGAGACCCCTTGGCTGTCTTCTGATTCAGTTTTTGATATAGGGTATTCAGTTTTTTGAATATCCTATATCTAATTATGCGCATAGGTATACCGCCATTCTTAACAGTGTTTGTGTTCTTGCATCTATGGCTTTTCAATAAAGTAAAACCTTCTTGGAAGTGTGTGCCACATTGTTTAGCTGTGGGTTCTGACACCAACCCTGTAGCTTGATCTCGGGGCTGCCTGGCCAAGGAGTGAACAGCCTACTGGAGTCTGTATTAAATCAGTATCAAACGTCAGAAAGTCATACTAAGGTGATGAAAGAATGCGGGGCAGCTCCTCCATCAATCAGACACAGCCCATCCTAAGTGGGATTCAGTCAAATTCCATTTTCCATAAGGACATTGGGAATTCCTTCCAGATAATTGGATCTTAAACTAATAATCCAGAACTGCAAACAACAAAAAAACAGGGGGCACCTGAATGTATTTCTCCTGCTGGTATTGCCGGGTAAAAACCCTGGGTACATGGAAATATATAAGAAAAGGCAAGATGAGGAGTGAATGACCTTACAGCTGAACACAAAACAGGAGCAGAATATGCAAAGCAGGGTGTTATGCTGTCCCTGCTTAAATAGACCTCTCAGGAATGGTAGGAGCTATCTTGGAAAGCACAATGGAGACCTTAATCCTAATTCTTTGCATCTTTTCAATGCTGAAGCAGGGTATGTTTTCCTGACAGAATTTCTTTTCTTCGAATGAAAAAATGGAGGTGGTGGGAGAAAGTTCTGTCTGCTTCCTTTATTTGAGGTTTACAGAATTTCACAGAATTTCAGATGTTCCACCATTAAGCAGTTTCACCTAAAATGGAGCTTCTTATCTATAAACCATATCTTTTAAGGGGGGGGGGATTAGTAACTACAGGCAATTTTGGACAATGACTGTGGACACAACATGAAAATCTCCTCAACAGTCATGCATGCATTGTACAGTTTTATAACTTTGCTTAATTTCTTTCTTTCTTTCTTTTTGAAATGATTTCTTTTTTCTACCAGGAGTCCTCTCTGAAATTAAGCTGACAGAGTCTGGGAAAGGAACAGTCAAACCTGGGGAGTCCCTAAGATTGACCTGCACAGTCTCTGGGACCTCCATCACCGATGAATATGGTTACCACTGGATCCGCCAGCCACCCAACAAAGGGCTGGAATGGATTGGAAGGGGATACCACAGCAGCTCTACTGATGATTTTTATGATGATGACGGCAGCTTAACCTGGTACACTGACTATGCCTCCGCCTTCTAGAGCAGGGTCTCCATCTCTCCTGATGACTCCAAGAATGAGTTTTCTCTCCAGCTGAACTCCATGACAGCTGCAGACACAGCCATCTATTATTGCGCTAGAGAGCCACAGTGACACAGAGCCAAGCTGCCGTCTGCACAAAAAGGGGAAGCTTGTGTCTTGAACAGAGAGTTGCCTGGTGCTGCAATTCCCCCCCCCCAAAAAAAAACATGGCTTTGTACATGTTCCGGCTGACAATGTGACATGTATGAAACAGGGACTTATTTTGTTTCATTTATTTGAAATAGTTAGATCTACCCTTATGTCCTTGAATTCAAGGGGGCTAATAACAAAACGTCAGAACGGAAGGTTTGTAGTGCTGCAAATTCTTACTCTAAGACATGGCTCTGTACGTGTTTTGACAAGCATCCATAATGCCAATTATAACCACATGACAATGGCCCAATCTACATCTAGCATTTGCTCCATTGTTTTACCAAACCCACACTGGAACAGAAAAAAAGATGCAACTCAAAACCACATTCAGGCCCAATCTGCATCTAGCATTTGCTCCGTTGTTGTACCAAACCCACACTGGAACAGAAAAAGATGTGGCTCAAAACCACTTTCAAATACCCCAGTCCAATGCCATACTGACTGTAGAGTCGCCCCTGAATAGCCATAAAACAGCCATAAATCTATGCAGACAGCCACCATAAAACCAGAGATCAAAGTGAAAGCGGCATGCAGTCTGGACCCTACCATAAAATGCCACAATCAGTCAAAGTGAAAGTGCCATGCAATACAGAGGGGAATTTCTGTTCCAGTGTGGGTTTGGTATAACAGCGGAGCAAATGCTAGATGCAGTTTGGGCCAGTGTGGCATGTATGAAACGGGGATTTATTTTGTCTTGCTTAATTCAAATAGATAGATCCTACTATTGGGTGCAGTTAATAAGAAGCCTGGAGACCGACTGGAGGTGAAAGGCAGAAAGTTTATAATGCAATAATGGTAACTATATACAAAGAATATACAGACTGTCGTGCAGCATAACATACCTCAGTCAGAGAGAGCTATGTCTCCCCAAAGTGGCTTATGAAGCCTAAACAATATATACATCAACCAGCCAATGAACAACAGGGCACACTAATTACCCACTCCTAATCACTACAAGGAGTAGCACCTGCTCGTTTATCACCTGGCTGTAACAGTGTTAGTCACTTAGCCATTTAGTCTGACAGCTAAGACTTAGGTATCTTAGATCTTCCTGATCTATACATGTGCTGTAACAGCTTGCTACCTCACTACATATATACATATCTCAATACCTACCTTATGTCCTTGAATTCAAGGTGGCTCCTAGTAAAATAGTAAGTCACAAGGAGACAAAAGTTTGTAAAAACCAGTGAGAAGTTTTTTAAAAGCACACATTAGAAACAGTTAAATCTGCTCAAGTAGGACGTAACAGTTGACAACCAAACACCACCGAAACTGCATGCTGAAACTGTCTCATGCAGGGCTTTTTTGAATAAAAAGCCCAGCAGTAATGCATTAGCATATTAGACCACACCCCTGACACCACAGCTCATTAACATATTAACCCACACCCCCATGCCTTCCCTTTGCTTTCCCGGGTGCCCCGCAGCTGTGGGGAGCCCGAGCAAGCCCCTCCTTGAAGGGAAAGGAAGGCAGTTTAAACTGCCTTCCCTTGGCTTGCCCCAGCACCCCACGACTGCGTAGAACCCAAGCAAGCTGGTCCTTGGACAGGCTGGGGAAGGCACAGGGAGGCATTTAAATGCCTCCCCAATCCTTCCAGGGCCCCCCCGGCCCTCCCATCTTGGAGTCACTGGGTGGTCACTCTCCAGGCCTTCTTTCTGTAGCCACGCACGCAGAGGTTTTGGCTGTAGTGGGCATGGCCAACTCTGAAGCCAGCCGGAACTCCGTTCCTGTGCATTCCTGAAAAAAAATAGGCCCGGTCTCACGGTTTCTTGGATATGAAAGCCAATGTCAAGATAATGCCCAAAAGTCCTATTCAGCCCAGGGCAGTGTAAAACATGATGTCAGGAGCTTCATTACCTTTGGTTATCATTTCTTTCATCATTTCACTGCATGTCAAAATCTGGGGAAGGGTAAGAAGGGCTTCGCCACATCATACAGATAGCTGACTGAATAAAGGGAAAGGAAAGGACAATGGAGTCCAAAAGAATACCATTCTGAGTATGAATAACAGATGCCATTTCTATGTGCTGACTTCAGCAAATTGAAAATAATCTCAGCATAGAAGTGTAAGCCCTTGACCAAGTGGAAAGGAACCTCATATTTCCATTGTGAAGACTGGAACTCGTGTTGATCAATTTCTCATATTAACCAGCTGTCAAATTCCTAAGAAAATCAGCTCTCAACAAGAGTTGCTTCAAAGAAGAAAAGTTTATTGAGACATTGATAGATCCCAGGCTAGGCACAGCGTGTGTTGGAACTGAAGGTAAAAGGCACAAAGGTACCAGTTATACTAGGTTCAAGCAGAAAGTGTGAAAGGTCCAGAACAAAACACCCTGTAGAATTCCACCTGCCAACAGCAAATGGTCTACTAACTCCCCCTCCTATACCATCCCTCCTACGTAAAACTAACATAAAACATGAAAATAACGTAAAACATGAAAATAAGCAGAGCAGGAGAGGCTGAGAATCAAGAACATTTGGCCAGCTAGAGGTGATAGGAAGACTGTTACATCAAAAGCATTCCAGCATCTCATCCCACAGCCCCCTTTCCCACCACCATGGAAAATGAGCCATAAAAGGCAGAGCAAGTTTGGCACCAGCAGGGGGAGCAGCTTCACACAGCTGTAGTATAACTCTGTTCAAGAAACCTGCTTGATTTCATAGTGCTGGGATACCATTTCTCTTCTCACTTCTCTATTGACCCAGTGACTTGGCTGATGTGAGTTGAGAAACCACAGAAAGAAATGTGGTGAAATGCCATTAATTGTATAATGAAGACGCCGATCTTTGGCTCTCTCCTCTTTTCTCCCAGCAAACAAAGCTTTTGTAGGATAGGTTGATGTGATTGTAAAGAACACAGAGAGAGCGGAGAGTGCAGTGTGGCCAGCATAGTCCCAGGGGGTCTTTCCCTTTATTTCTTGCTTTAGCCACTTCCTCTCACATGAGGAATTGCCATGGAAAGGAGTCCTTGTCCTTACAGACAGGGAAAGGAGCCTGAACTGGGATCCTGGTCAAAAACCTTGATTGGGGCTCCACATGATAGGTGTCCTGTTGTAACCTCCGGTTGATGTCTGACTGCCTAGAGTGGGCTTCCTGGTTGCCTAGCCCATAGTTCCCTGATAGTCTAGCCAGATGCTTCCTAATTGCTTAGCCAGTGGGTGCCTGTGCCCAATCCAGCTTCATTTGGGAACCTGCCTGGAGACATGAGACAGTAGACATGAGACAGTATGGAAGAAGTGGACTGTGCCACTGTGTGAAACAGAGGGTTGAACGAGATGGGCCATTGGCCTGATCCAACATGGCTTCCCCAGGTGAAAGGGAATATGCACGAAATGTCAAGATGAGAAGCGAATGACAAGCAAAAGGGCCCGACTCAGCACGGCCCAATATTTGTGGGGCCAGGCAGGGAGGGAGAACTGGCCTGATGCTGGGTAGGGTGGGGTCACTGAGCAGTGGGAAAGTTTGGACTTCCCCCTTCCCTCAGGACCAATGGCAAGGTGCCAGGGTAGCTGGGGGGAGGGTGGTTTTGAGGGGAAGAGGCCAGCCACTCACCTTACCCCATCCCAGCCTTTGTCCAGCAATGGAGCAGCTTGCCCACCCAACCCACCCTTGGGTACACCTTTGGGAGTTGGTAATTGTAAGGATCTGTAACGAGGGGGTCAAGGTGAGGTCAATGTTGTACAGTTTGAAATTGTTAGCCTATTAGTGTAGTTGATCTTGTATATGTTTCTTTCTTGTCCTAAGTGTTTGGTGATGACAACATGGGGCCAGATCCATTTACGGAAATCAGCCTGCGTGCCATTTCCTGGATATGGGGACCACCTTAAGGGGTCTTGGCATGAGGGCTGATGGGAGCGAGCCTGTTCAAGGACTACCAGTTCTTGCTCTCATGACGAGATGGCCAGGGGAGAACATGAAGGAGCAGTTGTCCATGTGATCTCTGGCAACCTGCCATTCCACAAACTTCACCTATGCCGGCTGGCTGGGTGACGGGGTACATCGGCTAGTGCGGGGCCAGCTGATGTGTTAGATCTGGTGGGCCCATACTATGCCAATGCTTCTTACAGCTGTAATCAATAAAGTTGTGCCAATTCTAATCCACATATCTTCCAAATCTGTTGTGAGCGTGGTCATTTCATACTGGGTCATAGACATCTGGTAGAACCATGCCACATAAAAACTGGAGCCGCAAGCGTGCTGCACAGCCCTCCTTATAGCTGAACATGAAGCAGGAGCAGAATATGCAAAGCAGGCTATGATTCTGTCCCTGCTTAAATAGACATCTCAGGAATGATAGGAGTCATCTTGGAAAGCATAATGGAGACCTTAATCCTAATTCTTTGCATCTTTTCAGTGCTTAAACAGAGTATGTGTTCCTAACAGGGATTGCTTTTATTTGAATTAAAAATGCAGGGGGTGGGAGAAAATCCTGCCTGCTTTCTTTGTCTGCTGATGTTTACAGACCTGTCGCAGGATTTCAGATGTTAAACCATTCAGCAGTTTCACAACTTCTTATCTATAGCCCATATCTTTTAAGGGGCAAAATAATCAGCAACTTCAGGCAATTTTGGACAATGACTGTACATACAACTAGAAAATCTAAAAGCCAGGCATGTACTGTACCATTTTATAACATTGCTCAATTTCTTTCTGAAATTATTTCTTTTGTCTACCAGGGGTCCTCTCTGAAATTAAGCTGGCACAGTCTGGCATAGGAATAGTCAAACCTGGAGAGTCCTTAAAACTGACCTGCACATTCTCCGGTGCCCCCATCACTGATGGATATCCTATCAGCTGGGTCCGCCAGCCACCCAACAAAGGGCTGGAATGGATCGGAAGAAGATACTACCACAGTTCTAAATGGTACACTGATTATGCCTCCGCCTTCCAGAGCAGGGTCTCCATCTCTCCTGACACCTCCAAGAATGAGTATACTCTCCTGTTGAGCACTTTGACAGCTGCAGACACGGCCACCTATTACTGTGCCCGATACCCACAGTGACACAGAGTCAATCTGGCATCTGCACAAAAAGGGGAAGCTGACTTCTTTAACAGGCAAGTTTTCTGGTGTGACAAATTCACCCTCTAAGGCATGGCTCTCTTTTTGCTCAGGTTAGAATCTGAAATGGCACTTTCAACTTCACAACCATGTGACATCTATGAAACAGAGACATCCTTTTTTAAAAAAATTATATAAAATATTTAAATCCTGCCTTGGTGTTTGTTAGACACCATTTGAGGTGGCTAATAATGCAACAATAAGTCCTGAGGATGCAGAACATCACAGAAGTCAATGAGAAAAGTTTTTAAAACGGCATTGATTTTGCTCCACCTTTGGCCTGCAGATGGTGTACCTGAAATTAAGAAAAAACTAATCAATGTTCTGTTAATAGCTGCTAAAGTGTTGTTAGCAAGTAAATGGAAAGCAGATTCCATTCCAACTATGCAACAATGGTTGCACAAAGTCTGGGATTTTTTCCTACAAGAGAAAATCTCATCCTGGACAAATACTACACATGTTGAGTATCACCAGCTTAGCCCCATGGATAAATGGTACCCTGTATTAGAGAAAATGAACATAGACAAATTCGACTGGGAACAAATAAGAAAACCAAAATATGAAGGGCTACTGTTTGGTTGATGGTGCAATATATTGACAACAGGGGGTGATAAGTGGCTGCATCCACTGAACCAATTAAGAGTATTTCCACATCAATTGAGGCTGTCAACATTTGCTTCAAGGCTGAACGCTCCTGCTCATCCACAAGTTCATTACTTGTATTGAGGAAACTCCCCAGATATCGTGAATGTGTCCCCCTTCCTGATTTTATTTTTTGCTGCTGTTTCAACTTATAGCTACTGACTGTTTTCTAAATTTTAAATTTTAATAAAAAAAAGAAAAGAAAAAGAAAAGTTTTTAAAAGCACACATTAATGGAATGGAACAAAGCCATTCCTGGCAACAGACGTTGCCACTTTATTCATCAGCAAGGCTGTATCCAAGACCACCAACAAACTCTTAATTTACTTTGCTGATTACATCTCTGGTAGATCAACTCCAACTTGGCACTCCGCTTCCCCAACCAGCATCACTTCAGTCTTTCCTGAACTAATCTTTGGTTTATTTACCTGTTTGGTGTAGTGGTTAAGTAGGCGGACTCTAATCTGGGAGAACCAGGTTTGATTCCCCATCCCTCCACTTGCACCTGCTGGATGACCTGGGGTAAACCATAGTTCTGGTGCAGCTGTTCTAGAAAAAGAGCAGTTTCTGTCGGAGCTCTCTCAGCCCGTCTGTTCTGCCGGAGCTCTCACAGGGTGTCTGTTGTGGGGAGGGGAAGGGAAAGGTGTTTGTAAGTCACTCTGAGATGCCCTTGGGTAGTGAAGGGTGGGATATAAATCCAATCTCTTTTCTTCTTCTTCTTCTTCTTCTACCTTCACCTGCAATACCTTAAGGGCCAGCATGGTATAGTGCCTCGAGTGTCAGACTAGTATTTGGAAGTCTCCAGGTGTGAATCCCCGCTCTACTCCAAAAGCTTGTTGAGTGACTTTGGGCCAGTCATGTGCCTTCAGCCTAACTTACTTCACATGGCTGTTAATGAGGATAAGATGTAGGAGAGGAGAATGATGTAGGCCATTTTGGATGTACTCTTTGGAGAGATAGGTGGGGTATAGCTAAGTAAATCAATATGTCAATAAATAATGACCTTCATAGATGCTTCAGGAAGCTTTGATAATATAAAGCTGGGTGTCCTCTGTCCTGTGATGACAACCCACTATGAAGCTCCTGATTATCTCGGCCATCGATCCATTTTACATACAAATTAAAGAGCATTGAGGATAAAATGGACCCTTGTGGCACCCACACACACCAGGTCCCAACTAGGCGATACTTCCAAGGTCTTTGACTACCCTGCACATTGTAACATAAAACGCTGGGGAAACATCCAGATTGTCCAATCCTGCAAAAAAGTTTTCTTCAGCCTGTCAGCCAATAGTTTTTGAAGAAATGCAAAATAAAAGCTCATGTCTGGATAGTTTCTCAGTTTGGTTTGTCCTATAGGATAAGTCCAAGGCAAACCAGTAGCACAACCCTGTTATGCTCTTGGGAAAAAAAATGAGACGTACCCTCTGGCCAACCAAAAGAGGTGTGGTGGGGATCCTGGAACTTGCATGGATGGACAAAAACCATATGGAATGGGAGATGTAGGAAGGCTGATAATTCTTGAGAGTGAATGCAAAACGTGGCTAGATCCAGTCTCTTGTATTTGTTTGTGGTATATCAGTGAAGTTGATTATATTGTCAATAGCAAAACCTCGGGATGACCCCCAGATTATTCTGTAACTCACAGATACAAGAAACTGTAATATCATGTTGGGGTTCTGTAATTGTTTTTCCTCATTAGCTGCTCCCTTGTGTTCAGCTCAGGCTTCAAAAGAATAAGATAACATTTGGGGATGAAGATACAACCCAATAACCCAGCACTGGAAGCTAATATGGAGAAGATCTCCACAGCTACCATGTATTTCCCTTTGGTGCTCAGGTAGGTTGGGACAAAAGACACCCAAACACTGCAAAACATCAGCATGCTGAAGGTAATGAACTTGGCTTCATTGAAACTATCTGGCAGTTTCCTGGCTATGAAAGCCACAGTTAAGCTCATGAGAGACAGAAGTCCCATGTAGCCCAGTACAATGTAGAACATGGTGGCAGACCCTTCATTGCATTCAGCCACAATCTCTGTAATAAATGACTGTGTGTCAAAATCTGGAAATGGAGGAGATGTCAGTAGCCATACTGTACAAATGCCCGATTGAATGATGGAGCAGGAAAGAACTATGGTGTTGGCGAGTCTTTTTCCTACCCATTTCCTCATCTTAGACCCTGGTTTAGTGGCCATGAATGCTATGATGACAGTGATGGTCTTGGCCAACACACAAGAAACAGCGACAGAGAAGATGATGCCAAAAGCTGATTGTCGGAGGAAGCAGGTCAGCTTGCTTGGTCTTCCAAGGAAGAGGAAAGGACAGAGGAAGCAAAGCAGGAGAAAGATGAGGAGAGCATAGGTAACATCTCGGTTGTTGGCTTTGACAATGGGGGTATCTCTGTGCTTAATAAAAGTTCCTAGCATTAAAACTGTTATCATGGAAAATGAAAGAGAAGCTGAAGCCAAACTGATTCCTAAAGGTTCTTCATAGGACATAAAGCTTATCATTTTGGTGATGCAGCAATCCTTGTCCTTGTTTGGATATTGATCTTCTGGGCATCGGATACATTCAGTCACATCTAAAGGGAGGGAAGGAGGAAGGAGTTCCATTTTAGAACCTGTTTTCATGGCATCTCTAACACACCAGCTGCTCATGTTGCCTAGCCTAGCACTGATTCCCACTTTCCTCTCTCAGACACTCACAAAGATCAGCTGAAGGAAGCCTGGCCAACTTATCACCTTCTAAACTTTTCAGAGTTGTGTGGATGAGGCACATGAACCCTAAGAAGGACTCAGATCCCTCAAATAAAGTATTATGGTCTGGGGCAGATCCTTTTACCTTTGAGTAAGAGCCCACATAATACCCATGGAACTTTAATCAAGGTATGTTACTGGGAAATGAATTCCATAAGCAGAAGTGTGATGAACATAATCTAGACATTTAGTCACATGACAAAGATGTACCAACTGGTAATACATGTGCAAATAACCCCTTGAAGAGTGATTCTCTGAACTGACACTATACACACCTAAAACTACTGGACCACCTACCCTCTTGTTTTGAGACCTTTCCATCAGGACATGGAACACAATCGTAGCAGCAAAATTTCTCCCCTTCTTTTCTTTTCTTCACATGACCCAAGCGGCATTTGTTGTTACATGTGGAAATGGGCAGTACCTGCTCAAAGCATAAAATAAGTGTTGGATAGGAGAAATTCGACACTATTTTATTGTTCAATAGTGGAGGCAAGCAGACAAGAATAGTGTAGTTGAAAAGTAACAGTATCCAAAAGGATTTCAGGTGGACATTCATGTTGGTCTGCAGTAGAAGACCAAGTCCAGCAGCACCTTAAAGATCAATGAGATCTCCAGGGTAAAAGCCTTTGAGAGTTAAAGCTCTCTACATTCAATCTGACTAAGGGAGCTCTGATTCTTGAAAGCTTCTAACCTGGAAATCTACTGGACTCAAATCACACATCAAAAATGCTGACTGAACTATAAGCTAATGGTTCTTTAGCCATGGCAAATATTATAGTTAATAAGTTTGGTGCTTAGGGGATGAAAATAGGTGGAGTAGAAAAACTGGATACAAAACTCAGGCCCCGGTCACACGAGCCGGATATCATAGGAGGGAGGCGTGGCTAATTGCCCTGCTGCAGTTTGATCCACGGTTACGTGATCAGATGCACCGGTGGCACACCACAGGTCCTTCTCTCGGAGCCGGCAGGTAAACGAGGGACCAGAGGGGAATGCCGTGCAATCACACCACAGGAGTGTGGAGGCAGCCCGTGGAAAACGTTTACTAGTACTTTGGGGGTACTACTTTTTTAGCACGCATTTTTGGCGGTAAGCCACGGGTGCGTGCCACTTCCCAGATGTTGGGGTGTGATCACACTCGGATAATCCACCCATCATCTGTGCCTCTCCCGCGGCAATTTTGCCGTGTGACCGGGGTCTCAGTGCCTCAAAAGAAGGCATTTTCTGTGGCTCCCACACAAAGTTATCAAATGTTAAGGAAGGGTCTATGTTTTTCCTATTTTCCCTGACCCTGAATCATTCAAAAAGAATGTTTTCCAATACATTGAGGGAAAGGATCATCTACCCTTTAAAGTTACTTCTCTTTTTATATTGCATGTGAATTGTGATGCTAGCTTTATTGCATATTATGCAGCGAAAGAGACTTGTGGTTCTGAATCACCAATCTGAAAAATGATATTTTCCTCAAGGCAACCCCCCCAAAAAAACATATTCAGCACCTGATTAAAACTTGCTTGCCACACAATCATATCTTCATTGATTATGAATTCTTTTCCTCCAGGAGCATTAGGATTCACCCTTCCAACTTCCACCCTGTGGAAAGACTTGTTTGGGAAGGTGACCAAGTTTGTGATGTCAAATCCAGCTCCCAGCTCCATATTATCGTTTAAAGAGATGGTTTCTCCAGCTGAGTTGTTGAATGAAATGCCTTGAAGAAACTTGTGGAGCTACTTGAAAGAAAAGGGGAGGGGAAAACCAGAATGAAGAGATAGCAACATGTTACAGTCATCATGTCTAGCTTTAAAAACTTATTCCTTTGCTGATATTGTTTTCTCAAGTGGTATATATGTAGACCTTGCTTGAAAATGGGACACTTTTACAGAATACAACATTCATAGCTGACTTTTTAAAGGTGCTAAGGCTAGGAGGAAATGTGGACCCACAAATCTTTGCCAATGAAGAAAGTGTACACCATCATATATCCAGATATATGCTAGTAGGATTTGAATGCTGTGTCACGTGTTATTAACCATGTGATCACAAGAAAATAAATTCATCAAGGATAGATTACCTGCCACGGCTGGGGATCTAGAATGGCAATTCTGTTTCCCCATTTGTTGATTGATCTAGAAAAGAACATGATATGTAAAGCATGCGCCACAGCATAGACAGCATTGTAGATGCTATAGCTGTGACCAGTCATGCGCATTTCAAAAAATGAACCAGGTAGGCTCTCTAGCCTCTCCTCTCCAGTACATGATTCATTATTGCTCATTAGCTCCTGGGGATTTGGATATAAACAGTTAAATGCTTGAACCCAGAAGTCTTCAAGAAAGCCATGTTCTTTTGTCCAGGATGGCTTTATGAGCCAAACAAAGTCTTGGTAACCAAGAAGTTCTTTTGAATGAATGGTGAAGGAAATAGTGCCATCAAAAATGTGAAGATTAAAGCCATTTTGAAAGCTTGTCAATGTTATATCAACTTGGGCTGTCATAACCCACACCTTTCCAATAGCCACGTTTTCAGGAAATCCTAGAAACATAAATGTGCTTATCCATAAAATAGTCCTGGAATGTCCATAGATGATAAATACACTGGTTTTGCTATCTGTGAAACGCCTGTAAATATTTGAAGCTATATCGTTAATTTCATTTACAGGATGCAAATGAGTTTGTCTTGTGATTCTTTCTGTGAAGGCAGAACAAATTCCATTCTTGGAAAACAACGGCTCCAAGACCTGTAAGAAATGCTCTCCTTCATCATCATCCATGGCAAAAAGCCCAACCCATGTCCAGCTGAAATACTGAAGTAATTGGACAATCCCCATCTGCTGATAGTCTTCATTTGGGGCCATGCGGTAAAAGAGATGGAACTCTGTTGTATCCCTGTCTCCTGGGGCAAATGACCCATAAATCAGCTAAAACGACAATGTACATATATTTTAGATATGAGTTAGGACTGGAAGAACATATATGCTGTGATTTTATTTTATTATGATTATTATACTGAGAGAATGTGTGGATTTGAGTACAGTTAAAATCTAGGATAATTCTGGATGAATATTCTCATATTATGAGATCATGAAACTATCTGGGGAAATTTGTCATAAAAGAAATCTCCTAATAGCACTATACATGTTTTCCTCTCTCAGCCTATACAAACTATCCCTCTACTTGACTTCAACTTTTTAGTACCAAATGATACTTGGGGGGGGGTTGCCCCTCACAGGTGTTCCTTGTAAACCACAAAACCAGTTCCTGAACAAGAGAATGTGTGAAATAGCTCATACCTGTGGAATCTTATATTGGCCTAAGATGTCCGCCATATGGAAGGAGATATCAGCTCCAAGTCCCCCGATAATGGCTATCGGCAATTTTGGAGTGTTGCATTTGTAGCGGGGGACAAGCCTATGGGATCTGAAAAGCAAATCTAGGATGGAATGATAGACCAATCCCTCATCATTGTAGCTGTCATAAATGTGGAAGCCAAGGGTGATATTGGGCAAGATCTTTGGATTCTCGTTGATCTCACTGATGGCAAACAGCAAAGCTAGGATGTGCTGGAACAACTTGGTCATCACACTACAAAGATTTAAAAAGTTGCATGTTCCTTCAAAAGGAAGTCTTTAATGCATTCACATTGTTTAAGCAGAAATACTGGTGTGTTCTGGATCCAAATTATTTAGTTGGCTTAGTGTGTGAGCTCCCTGTGCATCCCAGAACAAAGCTCATGGTATTTCAGAACACATACTATGGAAAGGGAAGTGATCTTCAATGGGTCTACTTGGAAGGAAGCACCACTTTATTCAATATAGCTTACACTCAGGAAAGAGGATTGCAACCATAGCATAAGTATTGCAACCATGTGTAGAAAAGGCTGGTGAAAGCCTACCAAAGAGTTTTTGAAGCAGACTGTCCAATTTCAGTGGTAAGCCACTCAAACATAATGAGATCCAGCACTGTTAGAATTGAGAGGGGGAGATCCAGCACTGTTAGAATGGAGAGGGGGTACCATGACTCGGAACTTTAGAGAGAGGCTGTGAAGACTATCGAGGGATTGCAGGAGGGGCAACACACAGCAAGGTACAAGAGAAGGCAGAGCATCAGAAGGCTTAAGTGAAGGAGGAGGACAGGCAGAGGAAAACAGAAAAGTCCTGGAGTGGAAATACCTTGAAAACTAAAAGAATTCATAAGCTGATTTCAGAATCTAGCAAATATCCACTAGTGACAACTTTTCTCAACATATACATATACCTCACACATACATACACACACAGAGAGAGAGAGAGAGAGAGAGACTAGTGGTGTGCATGATATGCTGCAAAGTCTTTATTGCTATTTCAAGTTGTAAAAACACTGAAAATTTAGGATGCATCTACCAATTGCTATTTGTGACATCTTTCTAATTAAGCCTAGATAATTTTTGATATGTTGTCCAAATATTCTATTGTCTGAATAGGGTTCCTCCACCTGACATTTGCAGTTTTTCTTCAACCATATTTTCAGTTTTCTTTAATATCTGCTTATCTTTTCACAACTCCAGACAATGATTCCACCCCCCCAACCTTGTTAGCTTTTGCCCATTTGTTTCCCCCCCCCCATATTAACAAACTGTAGAATTTCTCATGGTTTGGACTTCTAATGCTTCTAAAAACTGTCTTTACTGTTTCAGGTTTTCTTCCAAGTCCACAGAAATGATCGTACCACTAAAGATTTTTTGCTAAGAGACCCCTTTCAAAATTAGAAAGAGCTCTCTCAAAGACAGATGAAAGCCTACATGTCCCATAAAACAGAGCAGAAGGTACAAAATTCATAAAGTGACTGAGAAAGACAAGGGCTTGGGTGGTAGACCAAACACAGGCATTCATTCTTGGAGTATCCTATCAGTGGTAGAAGCAATCATTACACTTTGAGCTCTGGCCAAGCACATGTGATATGGGAAAATTAAATAATACCTTACAATGGAAAAGTTGACAGTTCCTGAGATGGATCTTGACAGAAGGATAAGTCAGAAACATGGTAAAAGATCTGAGAAGAAACCCCCCCAATGAGTAGGTCACCAGGCTGGTACCACTCGTGTGGAACTGGGAGGGGATCATTCAAGCAACACTCCATTTTATCTAATTCAAGTGCCATATGACGTGATACAAGCAGCAGTACTGCTATGTCACACCATATTGGGAGAGAAAGTTCTTTCTTCATGTGGGCCATGTAAGTGACAGCCTATCTTTGGCAGGTCTCCTTGGACTGTGGCTAACTCTGCCAATACACTGAGCATGCAGGAAAACGTCCTGGCATCGAAGAGGATAAGAAATGTTTGCCTTGAAACCTACTGGGATTGCTAATTCTTGGATTCAAAGCCAAAGAGGAATGTGCCAATGATCAAAATGATGGTGTCCTGCCTACTCCCTGCTTCCAATTCTCCATAGGGTTGTAATTTTTATAATCACTTTTAGACCTGCTTGTTCAGCCTTGGTGTTTTGTCAAGGGGAATGGGGGAAGCAGCAAGACAACTACATAATTACAAGGAAGAAAATCATGCCTGCCTCTCCAGGTGACACCACTGATGGTAACTCCTAACACACACACACACACACACACATTTCATCCGCAAGTCTCCTCTGCTCCTTAGCGTGTTCCAGATTATCATAGCAAACAAATGCCAATCTTTTTTTAAAAAAAGTTAAACTGAAGGATATGCTGTAGTTCTAAATTTATTTATGGGAGAGTTTGAGAGAGTGATCCCGATTATTCTCTTCATTGTAGCTTTGTTCTGTGTCCCATGATTCCCAGCCCAGTACTTGGGGGGGGGGTGCCTTCCAGCGCTCTAAACTGTGGAGTCTTGTGAGCAAAAATTCTACTTTGTGAGCTACTGGCATTAAAGCTGTGAGCGAGCGATTTGGCTACTGCACAAATTAGTTTGGAGCCATCCTTTCTGAGCTAAGACAAAAATGTATGAGCCAGAGGCTAAAAAACTGTGAACTAGCTCACACTCACTCAGCTTAGAGGGAATACTGGTGCCTACATAAGCGGGAAAGCCCGGATCAAAATGAGACTAAGTTCAATAACAATTGTCAGCCAAATACATAAGTATGTGTTGGGTTGTTTATTTATAGGTTGGTCTTAAAGGTGGCCGTGGTGGCTCAGAGGTTAAGAAGCTGATCTGCAGACCAGAAGGTCTGTAGTTTGGCAGTTTGAGACCCCAGTGCCACGTGATGGAGTGAGCTCCCCAGCTCCTGCCAGCCTAGCAGTTTGAAAGCAAGAAAATGCAAGTCGATAAATAGGTACCACTTCGGTGGGAAGGTAACAGCGTTCCGTGCACCTTGGTGTTTACTCACGCTGGCCACATGACCACGGGAACGTCTTCGGACAGCGCTGGCTCTTCGGCTCGGAAATGGAGATGAGCACCGCAACCCTAGAGTCAGATTCGACTGGCTTTCGAGCAAGGGAACCTTTACCTTTTACTTAAAGGTGCAACTGGACTCAAACTTTGTTCTGCTGCTGCAAACCAACCTGGCTACCAATGTTCCCTCTAAGCTGTGGAGTCTTGTGAGCAAAAATTCTACTTTGTGAGCTCCTGGCATTAAAGTGGTGAGCGAGTGATTTTGTTACTGTGTAAATTAGTTTGCTCTGGAGCCTTCCTTTCTGAGCAAAAACAGAAATATGTGAGCCAGAGGCTAAAAAACTGTGAGCTAGCTCACACTAACTCAGCTTAGAGGGAACACTGATGGCTACCTACCTGAACTTATGGAGCACTTGCAGGAGGAGAAAGGAAGAGACAATGAAAGGATGCAAACCAAGTTTCGTTCTGTGTTTGTGAATGGGACTGTGCCCTGTTAATGAAATCTAAAATGTAATGTTTTGAAGATATGTTAAAATATTCATAATCAGGGCTATTTTGGGGCAGGAACGCACAGGAACAGCGTTCCGGCTGGCTTCAGAGTTGGCCACACCCACTACAGCCAAAACCTCTCTGTGTGTGGCTACAGAGGGAAGGCCTAGTGAGCGACCCCCCCCCCCCAGCAACTCCGAGGTAGGCAGGCCAAGGGGGGCCCTGGAAGGATCAGGGAGGCATTGAAATGCTTCCCCGTGCCTTCCCTGGCCTGTCTAAGGGCTGGCTTGCCCGGGCTCCCCACAGCTACAGGGCGCTCAAGCAAGCCAGGGAAGGAAGTTTAAACTGCCTTCCCTCCAAGGGCTGGATATGCTAATGAGTTTCTAATATGCTAATGAGTTTCTGCTGTTGGGTGTGGCCTATTATGCTAATGAGTTCCTGCTGGGCTTTTTCTACAAAAAAAGCCCTGTTCATAATGCTTTTCCTTTAGAGGACATACTCTCCAAAGCTATTTATTTATATATTAACCACCGTTCTCCCTTGTGGGAATCAAGGCAGCTTCAAGATAAAGCGTTATGAAGAAAGACACGACAAAATAAACAATTATAAAACCCATAAAAAGTCACCAATGTAAAAACTCCCGTTAACACTGCCAATAACAAAGCCTCAATAAATCAAATGCAGTCCTAAATAAAGCTGTTTTCAACTGCCTCCTGAAGATTGACTAAGGCCCCTGCCACACGACAGGAAAAAAGCCTCTTGAGGCGCGGCTTTTAAAAGCCGCGCCAACGTTGACACGGCGCGGTGGGATCCCACGGATCCCCCGGCCGCGCCGCCTTTTCTCCCCGGCGCGATCAAACGCCGGGGAGAAAACACGGCCCTAACCGGGGGGCGGCCGAACTGCGCATGTCGGAGCATGCGCAGTTCGGATCCGGGCCGGGGTTGTGCCGGCGCAAACACGCGCCGGCGATCAAACGCCCGGTTAGAAGCGCCTCTTCCAATTGAACCACCTAAGTAGGTGGTTCAGTTTGAGGCGGATTTCTGCAGGGAAGGGACAGTTCGGCCACGGAAGCAAGACGCTTCCCAGATGTTGTGGTATGATAGCGCCGGTTTGATCCGGCCCCGAACTGTCCCGCTCCCGGCTCAAATCGGCCAGTGTGAACGGGACCTAGGAAGGCCTCACTAGGGAGGTTGCTCCATATTTGTTCCAAACCACTAAAACGGCAACTGAACATGACCACCAGGAGAATTATTTTTTCTTGTGTTGATATTCACCTACAGGGATGGTTCTGAACATACACAAACATCAGGAAGTCCCTTACACAGAAATGGGGAGCCCAAGAACATCTTTTTCTCCATGGCCTATTTTATTTTCTCAAACAACATTTATAGAAAGAAGAAGAGGGAAGGAGAGAAGAGATTGGGTTTATACCTCGACCTTCACTAGCCGAAGGAGTCTCAGAGCAGCTTACAATCTCCTTCCCCTTCCCCTCCCCACAACAGACACCCTGTGAGGAAGGTGGGGCTGGAAGAGCTCTTTTGATAACTGCTCTTGAGAGAACAGCTCTGAAAGAACTTGTGACTGACCCAAGGTCACTCCAGCAGCTGCATGTGAAGGAGAGGGAAATCAATCCCAGTTCTCCCAGATTAGAGTCTGCACTCTTAACCACTACACCAAACTGGTTTTCCAGAAAGAGCCAATGAGTGGTTGATGCTTAGGCACAAGTCTGATTTGAATGAGCAGGA